TCCACTTTGTCTGAGGTTTAAAGATTATTATTATTATTATCATTATTATTATTTTGAGATGAGGTTTCTGTGTGTATAGCCCTGGCTGCCCTAGAACTTGCTTTGTACACCAGGCTGGCCTTGAACTCACAGAGATCTGCCTGTCTCTGCCTCCCAAGTGCTGGGATCAAAGGCGTGCACTGCTACCGCTGCTGCTGCCCCCACCACTGGGCTGGGATTATTTCTTACTTATCACACCGTTTATCTATTTAGAGCCATAGTCTTTGCGGTGGTTTTAATGCATCTACAGAGCTCTTCAGCCAACACCACCACTGTCCGACCCAAGAAGAAACCACTCCCTGGACTCCCTCCTTTAGGCTCTTAAAGGTTGGGTCTGCTTTCTGTCTTTGTGTGCCACCTCTAACGGACATTTCCTGGAAATATCCGCAGTATGTGATCTTTGTTTTTGGCTTGGTGTGGATAGTGTCTTGGAGGTCTAACTGCATATTATATGGAGACCTTTAAGCGGTGTTTTTGTTTTGTTTTGTTTCGGCCTGGCCCTCATGCCTGTCATTTAGAGATGCTGCACAGCTCTGTAGAGGCCAGACTGCGTATTTCTTGTTGGAGTCACTCTCTACAGGTCCTTATGCTGTGACAGTCACTGCTGGTTATCCCCAGTTGACTCTTCTCCGCTTAGCTTTATGCATCTTAAACATTTATTGAAGTTACAGCCTCCCACTGTTACCATGCCTCAAAACTTAGGATTTATTGGAGTTTAAGGAAGTAAATGAAGTAATTGTGGTTATTCTTCTATGTATAACTGGAACTCAAGTCTTAAAATTTTTTTATTACATTTATTTGTGTGCTTGTGCATATTTGTACTTGTGTGCCATGATGTGGCTGTGTAGAGGAGTTGGTTCTCTCCTCCATGTGGGTCTTGGGGATTGAACTCAGATCATCAGGATTGGTAGGAAGTGCCTTTACCCACTCAGTCATCTCTTTGGCCCTCAGCTTTTTATTTTAAAGACATTAAAACATTAGCAATTTATGTTTGAAATTGTGATCATATGTGTATAAATTAAACTTCAAATATGGAATTAAAAAAAATCAAACTAATTGAAGTGAGGATCCCCACAGTCCCTTCAGTGTTGGAGGTCAAGACCCAGGGTCTGTTATGTGCTGAGCAAGGTCTCCAGCCGCCCTCCTACCCAGCTGCTCTATTTCATTGTGGAAGTTTGACTGGTAGGCCTCACTTTTTCTATAATAAATGGCCAACAGAACCAGTTTTAGTGAGGTTACTAGTTCTCGTTTATTCATTCCACAGTTACTGTACATCTTGCTGTGCACAGGCCACATGACACAAAAACACGGATAAGGCTGGGTCTTTAGCTCGGTCATGGAGTGCTTACCTAGGTACGCAAGGTGGACAAGGTACAGAATTTTCAGCCAGCTGTTCTCGTGGACTATTTAGTTTATTGCTGTAGTCTCATTGTTGGTTGTTATAAGTTGATTTGCTTTTTGTATGTGCATTATGTGTGTGTGGTGTTCTTGTGTGTATGTGTGGGTGTACACGTATGTGGAGGTTAGAGCTTGAAGTCCTTAGTTGCTCTCTACCTTATATATAAGGCAGTGTCTGTCTGTGAATCTGGAGCTCACTGATCACTTATCTAACTAGCCAGCTTGCCCCGAGGATGTGCTGGCATTACATGGGGGCATGGGTGGAGAGGGAGCCGGGGGCACATCCACTTGTCCTTTACATAGCTGTTGGAAATTCAAACTCCTGTTTTCACTCTTTTACCGCAAGAGCTTTAGTTTCTGAGCTGTTTCTCCTCAGCCCAAAGTTGATGCTTTTCTGTTAGGAAGCAGCTCTGTTACAGCTGTTAATGTGAAGGTTTAATCAGCAGCATTTAAAGCTTAAAGGTGAAAATGTGAATGTATGACCTTTGCTTGTATTTATATGTGCACAGTTGAGCAGCACATTGGCCTGCTTGTTTTGTATGCCATTTTCCGTCTTTCTACTGAATAGGCACATTAAATTTGCCTTTTCTTTTTCTGTTTCCCTTCAGTTTTCTGAGGCTGCCATTTATGACATCATGTTCATCAGCTGTGACTTAAAGCTATTCATGTCAGCCTGGGCCGTTTTCTGTTTTTTTTTTTTTTTGTTGTTGTTTTTTGTTTTTTGTTTTTTGGATCTGAGGATCGAACCCAGGGCCTTGTGCTTGCTAGGCAAGTGCTCTACCACTGAGCTAAATCCCCAACCCCCCATTTTCTGTTTTGTTTTATTACAGATTAAAAAGAAATTGGGACAGTCATATTATTCATGCGATTTTGTTTTCTTTATTATTAATCTTTTTAATTTAGTTTTAAAAGATTTATTAACTGGGCGGTGGTGGCGCACGCCTTTAATCCCAGCACTTGGGAGGCAGAGGCAGGCGGATTTCTGTGAGTTCGAGGCCAGCCTGGTCTCCAAAGCGAGTTCCAGGAAAGGCGCAAAGCTACACAGAGAAACCCTGTCTTGAAAAACCAAAAAAAAAAAAAAAAAAAAAAGATTTATTATGTGTATGTGTCTATGTCAGAATGTACATGTAAGTGCCAATGCCCTTGGAAGTCATAGTTGGATCAGAAATGCACCTCGTTCAGTAAGAGATCTAAAGCGGTGTTGCTCTTGTTGCCACAGTCCTGCCTCAGCCTTCCAAGTGCTGAGATCATGGCTGTGTGCCACCACACCTCACTTGTATTTGTGTTTGAAAAGGTACACTTTCTCACCTACCCACCCTCAGCTCAACTAAAGACTAACTATATCCAGAGAATTGACTTCTGAGCTTTCCTCTGACACCTTCTCCTTGATACTCGGATTTCAAAACCTTTGTTGTGATAATGATTTTCTGTCGCATGTAACAATTTATAGAAACTTACCTGTTTGAGCTTCTAAATGACACTTGTGACATAGGAATGAATTGAATAAAGGAATGCAAGACCTACACATTGACAACATGGTGTTGTAGAGCAAAATCAAGAGGACCAAGATGACTGAAAAGAGTCCCATCATTTTGGGTTGGGGGTTTAATATTACTAAAATTGTACCCAAGTGACTTATAAAGCCATTGTAATTGCTGTTATAGTTCAGGGTGACAAACTGTCTTAAAATTTCCATGGAAGTGCACAGGATTCTCATGCCAGAAATCTTAAAGGAACAGGTTATAAGTTGGATGACTCACTTTTTCCAATTTTAAAACATACAAAGCCACACAAATGAAGATGGTGTGGAAGAAGCATAAAGAAAACTATATAGATTGATGGTATGGGACCAAGTACCCTCAGATCTGCCTTTACTTTTATAGCCAGGTGATTACAGAGTTCTGTTTACTTATATTATTAGTGTGTGTGGTGGGAGTGGAGCATGTGGGAGAGCCATGGTGCAGGTTTGTGGTAAGAGAACAATTTTTGTGGACTTGATTTTTTTTTCCTTGTGCCTTTCCATGGGTTTTGGGAATTGAACACAGGTCCGTTGGCAGGCTTGCTTAGCAAGCACATATATCCACGGAGCCATCTTGGCCCACCACCTGATTTTTTATAAGACTATCATGGTATTTTGCTAGAGAAAGAGTAGTCTTTTCAACATATAGTGCTGAACTGGACCCTCTCACGGGCACCTTCAATCTCAGGTTAGGTTGTCGTCATCATCCTTGTTATTAAATTCCAGAAGTTTGTCTTTCTTCAGTAAATAGGTGTATCTAATAATAACAATTGTTGTTAATAATTTTATTGGCATATATTTATTGTACACAGGAACATTTCATACATATATATATACATATATGTATGATTATACATACAATTATATATATATATATATAATATTACTATGACTGTTCTCTCCTTTGCGCCTTCCCCTTTCTTTCCCCCATGTTAGCTCCCTTTGTTCCTTTAGACAGTTTTGCTTCTACTCTCATGTGTGTGTGTGTGTGTGTGTGTATATATATATATATATATATATATATATATATATATATGTATGTACATATATATACACATGCAAACACACACACATAGAGGTGGATTTTTCTTTTGGCTGCTAGCTCACAAATACTGACATGAAGACTTATTATTAATTATGAAAGCTCGACCTTACCTTAGGCTTGTCCTACTAGCTCTTATAGCTTAAATTAGCCTGCTTATATTAATCTATGTTTTACCATGTGGCTTTTTACCTTTCTTTCATTCTTTATGTCCGACTCCCCACATCTCCATGGTGTCTCCTGCGTACCTCGATTATCCTCTTCCTCTCTCTGCCTGGAAGTCCCACCTGTCTCTCCTGCCTAGCTATTGGCTGTTCAGCTTTTTATTACATAAATCACAGCAGTATCTCTTCACAGTGTCCCAATAGCCCACAACACATATACATGATTTTGTGTACATAGATACATTCTTAGTTGCTCGACTGCCTGTTTTGTTACTCTGTCCTCAGCACTTGTGGTACCTGGCAATAGCCAGAACACAGATACGACGGCATGAACAGTGGTGGTTATAATCAACTGCAGAACAACAGACCTTCAGGTAGTTGTTCTGTGTGTTGTGATTTAATTGGAATTGGTTTTTAAATCACACTAAAAAGCAAGTTTGCCTTTCTGTTACTGTACAGCTCAATATTAAAGTCTTGTCAGTATATTCTAAAACTTTAGGCTGAATGCCTTTTCTGAAATATCTTTCATGATTAGAAATAGATTTTAGAAAAAGCTACATTAATTTTATATTGTTAGGTACGATTATAACTTGATTACAGTTTTCTGAGCTAAGATAACATGTTCTTATAGATTGTTGTGAATAGCTTAGTGAATTGAAGTTAGCAAGTTGATATAAATTTAAATATTCTAAAATGCACTGAAATAATTTGTAGTGAAAAAGGAATTCAGTTACTGATATCTTTGAGGAGAGATAGAATTGCAGTGTCAAAATTGAATGTTTAAGCCTTAAGAGTCTACAAGGAGAACATCTTAACTTACTGTTTCTGTTTATTTCAGGGCTGAACACGAGTAAGCTCATTTTTCAGAGTTAAAGAATTATTTATAAAAACAAGATGGGGACGCCTGGTTCCGGAAGGAAAAGAACACCCGTAAAAGATCGATTTTCTGCCGAAGACGAAGCTTTGAGTAACATCGCTAGAGAGGTGTGTACTGAGGAGCACGTGATGCTCCCAGGTGCTGGGGCAGGCAGGCAGGCATGGCTGCTGGGAATAAGACATCATGGTTGGCCTCTCACATATTAATCAGTCTGTTCTGGTTAAATGTTCTTAGATTTGTATCCCTTCCGAATTCAATTTTCTGAGACTTCATCTGAGATTAATTTTTCATTATAATTATGTGGATTATATATGTTTTGTGCATGTCACTTAGGATACTTAGAAGTTTGGCGTTCTGAGAACTGTGTTATGACTCACTGGGCCTCATAGCTCTCAGAGCTGCTGCTGGGTGAATGTTGACAGAAACTGCAATCTGAGGTTGCTTTTTGAAACATTGCAGTGGTTATTTATTTATTTATTTTTGTTTGTTTGAGAAATGGTCTCATGTAGCCCAGGCTGGCCTTGAACTTCCTATATAGCCAAGGATGAACTTTGAATTTCTAGTCCTCCTGTCTCCACCTCTCAATGCTAGGATTACAAGCGTGTGCCATTATATCTGGCTTTTATGGTGCTGGAGCTGGGTCCCAGGGCTTTGTACATGTTAGACAAGCACCACCAACTGAGCTGGATCCTGGGCTGTGCTGGAGTTTTTTGTGTTTAATTCTTTTAGATACTAACAGAGCTTCTAGGGAGTTTTTGTTTCTATTTGTTGATAACTCCAGGCGGGGCGGGGGAGGGGGGGGGAGGGGGAGGGGAGGGAGATGGGAAGGGACATTGCTTTTGGATTCTTAGCAGCATTTCCTGTTGTATGTGGGTATTTAGGATAGCTATCAGCTGGGATTTCTTCTGAGGCGCCAACTGTGTTTCAGATTATGACTGTAGCTGCAGACTTGACCTTAGTAAAAGACTCATTCAGGATTAGCATTGTTTCCTTTGGACTTAGTGTACATAGTCTTTGTTTCCTCTTGAAAGCTAGTTAGCATTTGAATTTTAAATAAAAACATTTAATTGTGATTTTATTTGTATGAAATATCAGGGTAGGCAAATCCATAGAAGTTGATGGATTGTGATATCAGAGCTAGGAGCATTAAGGAATGACTTCTTAGGTGTATGGGTTTCCTTGTGTGTATGATAATGGAAACTTCTGGACTTTGGTAATAGTGATGATTGTACAACTCTATGATAATACCGAAAACACTGAATTATATACTCTAGAAGGGTGAACTTTTAGCAGGTATATATAAAATTTTTAACAACTTCTTCAATCAGGAAAGTTGGCAGTGAGATCCTTTTGGTATTTTAATTTGAACTCTTTTGTTGTTGGTATTTCACAGTTTTTTCTTATGTAGCCTAGCCTGTCCTCAAATTCCCTATGCAGACCTTGAAATTCTGACTCTCCTGAGTCTGTCCTGCCCCTACTCCCATTGTGAACACCGACTTGTGTCACCACATCCTTTTAAAATTACTTCTTTGTGTGTGTGTGTGTGTGTGTGTGTGTGTGTGTGTGTGTGTGAGTGTGTGTGTGCACAAACATGGAGGTCAGGAGTTGATGTGGAGTGCCTTCCTCAAGTGCTTTTTTCCGCATTTTTAATTTGAGTGTGTGTGTGTGTGTGTGTGTGTGTGTGTGTGCCACAGCATGCCTGTGGAGGTCAGGACAGATTTTAGAAGTCATTTTTCTCCTTCTACTGGTATGGGATCTGGGACTCAAAACTCACATCATCAGGCTTGTGCATCAGATGTGTTTACCCTCTGAACCCATTGCTCTCTACCCTATGTTTTTAGGGAGAGTCTCTCACTGAACCTGGAGCTGGCTAATTGGGCTGGACTGGCTGACCAGCAAGCCCCAGGGCTTCCTTGTCTTTCCCTCCTCAGTGCTGGGATTACAGGTGCGCACTGCTTTTTTATGTGAGTCTGTGGGACCGAGCTCCGGTTTTCATGCTTGTTTAGCCAGCGTTTTAGTGTAGAAGCCACATTTTGTAGAAGAGCATTTGAAGTAACATTACCTAAAAATTGAGTAGGAGAGTATTATTGGTGAAATTATTAAGGCCACTCCACGTAGTTAAAAGGAGATTTATTTAATGGCGTAACTTACAAATTAAGGAATAGGTAGGTCGCGGAGTCTGGGGAAGGTGTATCACAGTCCAGCGGTGTTCTCTGGAGCTCTGCTCGGTCCACCTCCACTATCCAGGGTCCTGCAACAGAGAGAGTGCCCGCTGATCCAGATCTCGGTCCCCGGCACCTCCCTTGGCCCCGCCTTGTAGGCGTGACAGTTGCCGAAGTCTCAATGGGGGTTGGAACTTCCAGATCAAAGCTGGAATGGCTACCCACTACAGAGTATTGAAGTAAAGAAAAGTTACCTAAAAACTGGCTATAAAATTATTTTAGAGGCCAGATATTTTTTGGCTAAAAATGATATTTTAAAAATGAAAAAAAACAGTCCTTTACAGTATTTACATAAGTTACATACTTTTAGGTAAAAATTAAAATTACTGTACTGTTTGGTTTAAAATTGGAGGTGGGTAGGGGAGAGGGTTTGGTGGTAAAAGCATTTGCCCCACAAGCCTGACATGTTCAGATCCCATAAATTCATATAAAGAGCCAGATGTGGTAGCACATATCTGTAATCCTTTCATACTTATGCTGAGATGAGAGGAGGAGGCAGGAGGATTGCCTGAAAGCTTGAGGGCCAGGTAGCCTGAAGTACATAGTACAGCAGAAACAAGAGACCCTGCCTCTACAAGGTGGAGGGCAGATCCATTCTTAGAATTGTCCACTGAACCTGCACATGTGCTCTGGAGCATATGCGTACATACCACCACACACACACACACACACACACACACACACACACACACACACACACGTGCCCTGGAGCATGTGTGTGCACACATCACACACACAGGGGGATAAAATCTATTTTTCTAAAAATATGGGAGTATTTACCCTCCCCCCCCTTTTTAAACAATTGTATATGATGAGTGATACTCTGAGAAGAAATTGAAACCTCTAGAAAGAATTGCAGATAGCCATTTTTTTCTGTAAATATATTTATTATCATTTTTTAGAGTCTCATGTGTATTCAGTCTCTTGCTCATAGCCATCCCTCATTATCCCCAACTCCTCCATAGCATCCCCCATCTCCCTCCCAACTCTTTTTTTTTTTTTTTTAAATAACCCTCTGAGTCCAATTAGTGCTGCCCGTGTGCACACTGGTGTGGGTGCACCTGCCAGAACACGGGCAGCCTACCAGAGATCACACCCTGAGAACCCTGACTCTCCCTTTCCCAGCACCCAGTTGCCAATAGCTCTTTAGCTAGGGGTGGGGCCTTGTGAGTGCCTCCCCCATCCATGTTGAAATGGTGACTGGCTTGATCTTTTGTAAGTCTCATGGGCAACCAGAGCTGCTGTGAGTTCCTTAGTGGCAAGGGCCCTGTCATGTCTAGAAGACACTGTGTTATAGCAGTCTTCCCTGATCTCTGTCTCTTAACAATCTTTTTTTCTTTTAGGCAACCTTGATTCTTTTTAGTGGCTGTGTAATATTCCATTGTGTATGTTTGTTTGTTTGTTTTGTTTATATGTTCATCTGTTGGTTCTGCTTTATTGGATTGTCATCTATTGCCTAAGGACATAATAGCCATTCAGGCATCTCGGAGAACCAGAAGTTTGTGGGTTTTGATTATAGATTAACATCCTGAGGAAAAGAGTACAAAGAGGTAGATTGTGCTTAGGTAAAAAGACACTTTCTGGCAGTGCTTGATGGAGTGGCAGTCATAAGAGCTGGTCAGAGCTGATGGTGACGTTGCTACTCTGAGTAACTGATTTATTTTTAGGTCATGGTAAATAAAAGATTAAAAAAACTTTTGGCAAGTACAAAAACTTTCTTAAAATGTGAAGAATTACCATAGTCAGCAGGAATTATGAGTATTAATTCCAGCTTTCATTTAAGGCTGTAGCTTCTTTTTAAAACAAACATGAACTTTGTTTTTTTGTTTTGTTTTTTTTGATTTTTCGAGGCAGGGTTTCCCTGTGTAGTTTTGCGCCTTTCCTGGAACTCACTTGGTAGCCCAGGCTGGCCTCGAACTCACAGAGATCCGCCTGGCTCTGCCTCCCAAGTGCTGGGATTAAAGGCATGCGCCACCACTGCCCGGCCTGAACTTTGTTTTTTTTTATTTATTGTTTTTTGTTTATTTATTTGTTTTTGAGACAGGGTCTCTCTTTATAGCTCTGGCTGCCCTGGAACTCACTCTGTAGACCAGGCTGGCCTCAAACTTACAGATCCACCTGCCTCTGCCTTGATAAAGGCATCTGATACCACCTGGCTGGTTTTGTTTCGTTTTTTAAAGACAGGATCTCCCTATGTAGTGCTTGCTGACTGACTGGGAGCTCGCTGTGTAGACATGGTCCACCACACCTGGCAACGTTGAACTTCTGATATTCATTCAGCACACATTTATTGAGCACCTGATTTGTGTGGACACTGCTATGTTTAGAGGGTATGGAGCTTCTAGCATGGAGCTTAGATTCTAGAGGGGAAGTAGACACTGAAGACCATGTAGTGGATTCTTCCTCAAATTTCAGATACTTAGCGACTTCTTTGTCTTGAAAACCGGTTATCTGTGTGTGCTGTAGTCACTGGCATTCCTAGAATTGAGGAAATATGTCATATGTGTATTTATAACTTTGTTAAGTGCTTTGAGAGAACAGTAAACAGTTTTATTAAGGAGTACCACAGGGGACATGTTTGAAGGCCTTGGGAAGGCTTCCTTGGAGGAAGTGGCCTTTCACCTGAGGTTTGAAGGATGAGGGATATCCCCCAAGGGAAAGGGAGTTGTCAGAGAACTTTTTGCAAGCTTATGAGGCTGAAGGAGTGGAGAATTCAAGGACTAACAGCAGTGGCTAACATTCATTCAGTGGTCACTATTGTACACTCTCTCAGTCTTTTGGTGAACAGCCCCAGGCCTTTATACTTCACTTTTTCATCAGTGAGGAATAGAAGCCATGGAAATGTCTAGTAACGCTGCCAAGGCCATGGTGCTAGAAAGGGCTAG